CCATTTCTGAAAGGAGTATCTTCTTCAAATTCTGTTTCCAGGCTTTTGTCAATTAAGTTTTGATTAGAGACTCATCTTACTTTGTTCAATTATCTTCTTCTTTTAGATCTTTTCATTGAGATATTGTTTGACGTTTTCATTTAATTCATTAAATGCAGATGCTTTGCAGCCATTTACTTATCTGATTTTTTTGCATGAACTCTTAATTTCTTGTTTTAAGTATTTCTAATTTTTCAAACTTTGGAAAACACAAACTGAGCAACGTTCTCAGGTTTTCTGCTCAATTGAGTCTCACACTATCATGGAAAATGTAGAACACAATGAATAAATGCATGCATGGTGCAGTGACCCATAACTACATGAAGACAAAGACAATTGTTGTGACAGGCACAGCATCTTATGGAGCTGTCCTCAGAGCACTGTAGTCTGAACTCACATGTCCTAAACTGGGAACAATGCTTTGCACTTGCTATTGAGTTCATTTTGCAAGTGTTTTCTTCAAGATGGTTCTGTCTATGCTCTTCAAAGAATTTATCCTATATTTTACCCTTCCTGAAGAGTCATTGTCTAACCAAATTGTAATTAATGTAAGCCAGACACCAGAAAGCTAACCCAAAGAGGAGAAGAAGGAAAAATCCACTTTGACAGAATCTGTGGCAGAAGAGACCATGAGTTAAATTCCAGCTGGGATTGTATACCAGGACACTATCTCAAAAAAAAGGAAATATAGAAGTAGAAAGATTTGTTTTCTCTCATAAAGATTTTATTAGTACATGATTTCTATACAGGAGATTTTGTTGTGATATTTCCATATGTGCATGCAAAAAGCCATGGTTTGGTCATCCCCTCCAATATTCTTTATCTTCTTCCATTCCCCTTCAATAAATGACTTTAACAGTTTTCAATTTTCCATATTCATACATGTGTAGAAAATGCATGAACTATATTTACCACTCTTATTTTAATGTTCATATGGCAAGTGGTTTTTTTCTTCTCTCTTTTATTTTATCGTTTTTACATTTACTTACATGCGTACATTGTTTGGACCACCTCCTCCCATTCTTTACTCTGTTCATTTATCCTCCTCCTCTGCCTATTTCCCTTCACCTAACATGACCTGTTTTAGATTCCTGTCCTGTATTGTTTAAGATTCTGATCATTTTATTAGTGTTTTGCCTTGGTATTTTGAATAAATATATGATGTACTTAACTCTTCCATATCATTTTCCTACTATCTTGTATAATACAACAGTTTTCATTGCATTTCACCATATCCTGCTCCTACACACATGTGATGTGCTTCAATATTAATTACTCTCTACTATTCTTTTCTTCTTTTCCTACTCCCTTGGCATCCTTGCATTATTAACTCTGTGAATCCTTGAGCATGGGAGATTCTTCTATCTCTAATGTCTTCTTCAGATTCTTTTGTTAGCGGTTTATAGTTTTTATTGTAGAGGTCTTTCAATTCCTTTGTTCAGTTTATTTCTATGTACTTTGTTTTTTGTGACTATTGTAAATAAAAGTATTTTACTAAATTTTTCTTAGTCTCTTCATTGTTGGTATAAGAAAAACTACTGAGTTTTGTGTACTGATTTTTATATCCTGCCCCTTTGCTAAAGGTGTTTATGATGTCTAGGAGTTTTTGGGTGGGATTTTGGGTCTTTGAGGTATAAGATCATGGCATCTGCAAACAGGGATATTTTGACTTCTTCCTTTCCTATTCATACTCCTTTTATTTATTCCTCCTGTGTTATTACTCTGGCTAGGAATTCCAACATTACATTGAATATGAGTGAAAAGAGTGGACACCATTGTCTTGTACCTGAATTTAGAGGAAATTATTTCTTTTTTTCCCCATTTAGTAAGATGTCAGCTTGAGGTTTGTCATATATAGTCTATTATCTTGAGATACATTCCTTCTATTCCCAGTTTCATCATAGTTTTTACCATAAAAAGGATATTGAATTTTGTCGAAGGATTTCTTTGTATCTATTGAGATGATTATGTGATTTATGTTCTTCCTTCTGTTTATATGTTGAGTTATATTTATTAATTTTTGTATGTTGAGCCACCCTGCATCTCTGGAATGAAATTAATGTGATTACAGTGTATGATCCTTTTGAAATGTTGTTGAATGCAGTTTGCCAGTATATTGAAAATTTTTGCCCCTAAATTCGTTAAAGAGATTGGCCTATAATTCTCTTTTTATGTTGAGTTCTTGTCAGTTTTGGGATGAGCATAATACTGGCTTCATAAAATGAGTGTGACAGTGTTCCTCCCCTCTCTATTTCATGGAAAAAGTTCATGAGTGTTGGTATTAGTTCTTTAAAAGTCTGGTTGAATCCATTGGATTCTGGACTTTGTATTTATGGGAGACTCTTGATGCTTAATTTTCAACATTTGCTATAAATCTATTTATGTGGTTTATGTCCTCTTGGTCCACTTTATGATGGCCATATGCATCTAGAAATTTATGTTTCTTCTTTATTTTCCAATTTATTTGAGTATAGGTTTATGAAGTATATCCAAATGATCCTTTGGATTTCATTGGTATTTGTTGTGATAGCCCATTTTACTCCACCTTTTTGTCAGATTCACTAAGGATTTATCAATCTTATGTAACTTTTTGAAGAACAAATTTTTGGTTTCATCGATTCGATGGACATTTTGCCTCTCTCTCATTAATTTGACTCTTATTATTATTATTATTTCTTTCCTTGTGCTACTTATAGGGTTAGCTTCTTCTTGTTTTTCTAGAGCCTTAAGATGCAGCATTAGGTCATTTAGTGATGTCTCTCTGTTTAGCTTATGTACATACTCATGGCTATATACTTTCCTTCTAGCACTGTGTTTGCTGTTTCCCATAGCTTCTGGTAGGTTGTATTTCATTTATATTGGATTCAAAGAACTCATTGATTTCCTTTGTTATTTCTTCTATGATCTACTGGTGAGGCAGCAATGTGGTGTTCAGTAAACATGCATTTGAATATTTTTTCCTGTTTCTTTTGTCATTGAATTCTAGTTTCATTCTGTTGTGGTCAGATGGATACAAGCAGTTATTTCAAATTTCTTATATTTGTTAACATTTGCAATTTATCTCAAATTGTAATCTATTTTGGAGAAAGTTCCATGGCTACTGAGAAGAATGTGTATTGTGCTGCTGCTGGATGAAATACTATGTAGATGTCTGCCAGGTCCATTTGGTTTATGCTGTCATTTAATTCTGAAGGATCTTTGTTGAGTTTTTGTCTGGATGGCTTATGTGTTGTTGACAATGGAGTATTGAAATCTTCCACTATCATTGTGTTGAGCTCACTCTGTACTTTTAAGTCCAATAGGATTTGTTCAAAGAAGCTTGGTGAGACAACATTGGGTACATATAATTTAACAATTATTATTTCTTTTTGAGATATTACTCCTTTTTTTAGTATGGAGTAGCCTTCTTTGTCTCTTCTGATTACTTTAGGTGTGAAGTCTATCTAATATAGGTATAGCTACACCTGCCTGTTTTGGAGTCCATGTGCTTGGAAAATCATTTTTTATCCCTTCAACTTCAGACAATGTTTGTTTTCATCAGTGAAATGGGTTTCTTCTGCACAAATCATCAGTCTGTTCTTTCAACCAGATTACCAATATATGTCTTTGATGGGGGAGTTGAGACCATTAACATTCAGTCTTAATACTGAGTAATATATAATAACTCCTGCCACTTTGTTGCTTTTGTGTGTGTGATTGGTTCTTTCCTACTCTTCATTCCCTTATTTGTTCATCCTGAGAGATTTACTTATTACCATCCTTTCTTGGCTGCATGTATCTTCTTCTTCTGTGTGTGAGATTCCTTCAAGTACCTTCTGGAGTGCTGGTTCATTGGTTGTAAATTGCTTTAGTTTCTGTTAATCATTGAAAGTTATAATTGTTCCTTCATGTATGAATGGTACTGTTGAGGGTACTTGAGTAGTTCATGATGAAGCAGCAGGAAGAATGTGAGGGAAAGAAGGAGAAGGAAAGAAGCAGCAAAGGAAAATAGGGGTGAAGAATAGAAAAAGTAAGGAGAAAGAATTTGGAGTACAAGAGGAATAGACAAATTGACATTTTGACAAAAAGGAAAAAATATTATTTTAAAGTCTGAATTTGATCCTTGTTGAGAAGAGTGGCTTTCTTCTGTGCTCAGTGAGTACATTGATCACCCTCCTTCAATTTCTGCTCCTTGGGTATCAGTCTGCAGTTCTCATGTTTCACCTGTGGTTGGCACCCCTCAACCATTGGGCAAGTCTATGTCCCTTAAGACAGAGACTTTCTGTAGGCCCTTGTTCTCCTGAATGTTTTGTATGCACCTTTCAAAGGTACTGAAGGGCACATCAGGTCAACAACCAGAGGTCAATAGCAGAGTCACTGATTTATCCATTACCCCTCTGTTCAACAGACTGCTGGTTCCTGGAAGGTTTGCAGTACTGTGAATCAAATTTCAGCAGTTTTGGTGGTCTTTCTAAAATACAAGCTTCTATGGTTGACTGCCCTCCCCCAAAAAAGAGCACCCTCTATCCACACAGTGCATTCCTGGTGGTGCAGATGCACCTGGAGTGGATTTGCACTTCAAAAAGCTTATTTAAAAGTTGGTCATTGAACATATGAGCTGTCTGTATATTGGCAGCCTATTATTTACCAAAATAACCAGACCAACTGCTATTGTTGCCAAAACCAAAGGTAATCTATGAGATTTGTGGGAATTTGGTTATCCTAGTCTGTCATCATTCTGTCAACTTGGATACCCAAATTATCACTTCCTTATCCACCTGCATTTACTAGTCTAATATTTACCTCATTAGATTTTATGAATATATGATACTAGTCCCACATTAATTACTCTCTTCATAGTGCTTGCAATATGACTACAGATCCTATATAAAAGCATTTCTTCAGGTTAGTGTTGTGCATCAATGTGTCACAGTGCTTTATTTTTTCTCATTTCTGCTAGTAACTTCAACCACTTGTCACCAATGAATGACTCAAGAATTTCAGAATTTCTCCTTCTGGGAATTTCAGAAGACTCCACATTGCAGCCTGCCCTCTTTGTATTGTTCCTGTCCATGTATCTGATCACTGTTCTTGGGAATCTGCTCATCATCTTAGCTACAATCTCAGACTTCCACTTGCACACACCTATGTACTTCTTCCTCTGCAATCTATACTTTGTGAACATCTGTTTAACCTCTACTACTGTCCCAAAGATGCTGATGAATATGCAGGCACAGAGCAAAGCTATAACATACAAAGGCTGCATCACCCAAATGTACTTTTTCATATTCTTTTCAGGGTTAGAGATCTTTCTATTGACCGTGATGGCCTATGACCGCTTTGTGGCCATTTGTCACCCACTACACTACACTGTTATCATGAACCTCCAGCTGTGTGTGTTACTCGTTCTTGTGTCCTACATGGTGAATGTCCTACATTCGATCCTACAAAGCTTAATGGTGTTGCAGTTGACCTTCTGTAAAGACTTGGAAATCCCACACTTTTTCTGTGAACTTAATCAGGTAGTCCACCAGGCCTGTTCTGACACCTTGCTTAATGATGTGGTGATTTACTTGGCAGCTGTGCTATTGGCTTTTTGTTCTCTTGCTGGTATCTTTTATTCTTACTCCAGGATAGTTTCCTCTATCCGTGCAATCTCATCAGATCAGGGGAAGTATAAAGCATTTTCTGCCTGTTCATCTCACCTCTCAGTGGTCTCCTTATATTACTGTACAAGCATAGGTGTGTACCTCAGTTCTGCTGTGACTCAAAACTCACACTCAACAGCAGGAGTCTCGGTGATGTATAGTGTGGTCACCCCCATGCTAAATCCCTTCATTTATAGTCTGAGGAACAAAGACATTAAGAGTACTCTTACAAAACTATGTGGGACAGAAATAATAAAAATACTGCTTGCCCTGAGACTGAAAAAGTGTCCATGATTATTGGACTCAAAGCTTCAGAGTTGGAGTTCTTTGATCAGATGGGGAAGGTAGAACTTATTCCTTCTATTTTAGTTCTGCATTTCCTCTTTTTCTGATTTCAAACAGTTAAATTACAGAAATTGTTATATTACACTTTTTTATGGCAGGCAAACATACATATTTATTCTGTCAAATAATTCCAAACTACTTGATATTTGGTTCAAATGCTTGTCAATTGTCACTTACCCATTAAGTCATATTTTAGCAATAATTTTATCACAATTACACAAATGTCACTAAATAATTTTCCTTTATTAAAATAGTCATAAATTGTATTACTATATAGAAATCTCTACTTGGCCTCCAAGGCCCTGTAACTAATATTATATTGTAGAAAGTCTGATATCATGGGTTTTCACTTGTGGGTGTATCATTCCCGCAATAACACTGCCTTAATTCTTCCTCCCAATAATGTGGGTATCATCATATTAGGGTGTGTTATGATAGATGATCAGGTTATATTCTCATATTAAGGATCCCATTTCTGTTTTGGCTCAGTTTCTATAGAGCTTAACACTGTCATGAGTAAAATGGGTCACTTAAGCTAATTGCTTCCATTCTTTCCCCATGGATAGTTTAATAATTGAGACAAAATTTTCCACATTATTGTTGGCTCATATTAATTGAACAATGGTGGGGTTTTCATCATGATATTTTGATATATGCATGTGATACACAATGAACAATGCTACCACCTCCATTTCTTTTCTATCTTACTACTCCTATACCACCACTTTTATCCTTCTTGCAATTTTAAATGGAATCCATTGGGACACTTTCATGTATGCATGTACTTTGTTCATATTTTCCACCTCTCACCTTCCACTGTGTTCCCCACTCCAATACCCCATTGTTATTTTCATGTGCATTTTTTCTTTAGATAATGATGTTGCATATCAGAGAAAATATGCAGTTTTGTCTTCCTGAGCCTGGTTTAATTCACTTAACATGATGATCTCCAGTTCACTGACATCCTCCAGATAGTGTGTATGTTTCACATTTGTCAATAAGAACCCCTCATTTGTGCATGCG